CATTACTGTTATAATATTCTTAATTGAGCAGTTTTTACCCTAATGATAAAGAATAATTACTGTAGTCAATAGAAAATAAAGATGAGCTAGTTTTAAAATTTTGACAACAAGGCACAGGTATACTTTGTAATTCATGCCAACCACTATCTCATTTATTTAAATGAAAAGCATTCCCCTTGTACATATAACCCACAATTCTACCGAAATAAAAGACACATACTTCCTCAGAATGAAACCCTCTCTTCATTCTCTCTAGAAATTTAAGACCTTCAGGTAAATTCTACTGTTTCTGCCGTTATTTATCCAATCTCCACATTCCTTCTCTCTTCAGAAGTTACCAGATATTCTCCTAAAAGGCCATAATGCAGACCAATATCATAGATAAGTTGTATACATGCACTGATTTTAAGATAGCAACTTTTAGTTTAAAAAAGAATAATAGAAGTTAAGGGGTTTTATAATTAAGAAACAAGAGAAGGTATAAAGTTCGGTTATCATGTGTGAATGATGGATTCTTAAGATTCTAATTCACAAGATGTTTTATGTATAACATTCAACTGTTGAAAAAATGTTTATTTGGAATTTATATTAGCAATGGTGAACCCAACTACGACCGGGTGTTCCAAATCAGTCATATATGTAGCGGTGGCGATCTTATGTATCGGGCCAGTGATGTGCTTGCCCAAGACTAAATTTATACTACTTAAGAGATTAGGTTCTTAATAATTTTTATAGTTGTTAGCCAGAGAGTTCTTTAGCAATCAAGAAAAGAGGGTTATAAATAAACTAAGCCACTCAGGAGACTTTTGGTTTAAAAAGACATAAACAAGAGTGAGATTATGCTTTACAAATTAAAACCGTTTTCAACTTCCAGGAACCAAGAAGGTAGGGAAGTTGTCTAAATCTCTTATTTAGAGACCACAGACTTAAACTACAAGTCTCTGTTTAAGTTGTTATCCCTGATCTCGACCATCTGGTTGCTCATAAATCATAAGTATAACAATTATAATTCAAGGAATGTTCTTCATGTTGCAAGAGCAAATATGTGACAGATTTATGTAAACTATGAAGAACACTCAACCTTTCATGCTCGACTTATCTTTGAACAATCACTTCAATAATAACATGAAACATCAAGATTTAGAATTTGCATCCATGGTTTCTATGTAGAGAATTCATCAACTTCAAGTGTTTATCACCACTAAATCCATTCTAATGTGGTTTTACAAGTTACAACTTCTAAATTAAGGCTCAAAGGATAAATCCCTTTTAGAAACTATCTTGTACTTCCTAATAATGGCTTCATAACAGCACCTCTCAGATTTAAAGAACCATGTCTCATTGGATATCCTTGTGCCTCACCATCAATGTACACAGACCCGGGAAAAGTTAGTACTTAGTAAGCTCAACCTATCATAAATAACTACAAGTAACATAAACAGGATTCACGATATGCCACATTGCTGATATTTTAGATAGAAGGCAGTGACACCCACTAACCAAGATAAATTCCCAAAGTTGAAGGATACCTAACAATTCTTTTGTTTTGATGTGTTCAACAATCAAATCACCATTCAGAATCAGAGAAATACATCAGGCTGAAAGACTGCTTCACTAATTACTAATTTACTATTCTTCAGTTTCAAAAGAACATGATTAACATCACGTTCTTTTACTATCTTAAAGCCAAAAATAAGCTCAAATCTCCCATGCTCCATTCAGGTAAAAGAATAGATGGGCTTCGAATTGTCTTGTTCTAATACTCCGCACCTTGTTAGAATCAAGAAAGCATTTGTATTGAAGTTCAATGACTAAATCAATGATTCCCATGAATCCCTTCAATCATAGTAATTTATACTCTACACAATACAAATATTGTGATTAAATAATTCAACACTAACAGAAACATAAACAAATCAAACGCTCAAGAGTCAAAACCGAATCTCGTTCATCTTTTAGGTTTTTGCCGGATCCACCCGAATCGATTTGCACGTATCCGACGTAAATCTGATTATGGGAAATAAAAATATCTACTTGGAGAAAATGGGATGAAAACAGATCGAAGGATATATATAGGATTGTGCATAAAATACCTTGTTCATTGCAATATATCAAATTGGGGAGGTGAATTTCAGAAATCAAATCACATCAAAGGCGCTAGAGCGAAATTGTACTCTCTGATGGGTTCGAACATAGAAGATAAATAGTTGGAGTTGGTGGATCGCTTTACTCTTGAGCTGGAAGATCCCAGAAATGGTGGAGACTGGAGAGGCTCAACATCTAACACCACTCCACTGGAGAGAGACTCGCAGGAGTTTTTTTTCCCTCACCTTTTGGATGCGTCTAGTCCGTCTACAAAATATGAAAAAATACGTATTTAGTATTTTTTCTTTTTTTTTTTTGTTCAAAACTAAATTATAAAGAAAAATATATTAACTAAAAAAATATTTATTTTTTAAATTTTTTTATTATAATTAAAAAATAATTATAAGTAAAATATTACTTGCACGATATAAAAAAAAAATTACATTATAATTAAAAATTACTTATAAGTAAAAAATGACTTTTATTTAAAAAGATTGTCATAAAATAAAAATAGTAGTAATAAAACAAAATTCACTTATAAGATATAAAAAAAATTACTTATAAGTAAAAAAAATTCACTTAAAGTTATTTAAAAGTATAAAAAATTAACTTATAATTGTAAAATTACTTATAGGTAAAAAATATTAATTTTTAAAATTAAATATTAACTCATGTAAAAAAGTTATCTATAAGTAAAATATTACTTATGAGTAAAAAAATCACATAAAAGAAAATTTTATTAAGGGATGTATACGTAATTTTTTTTTTAAAAGAACTTTTTAAATTGGTGAATAATAAACTCTCGGGTTGAAGAGTTTTAAAAACCACTATTAAAATTATTCAAAATCGATTAACTCATAAACGTTCAAAATTGATACTTTAAAAAACGCTCATAATCGGCACAACAAAACTCCCAAACAGACCCTAAGGAAATGGATTTTTTTATTAATTAATGATTATGCCTTGTCTACCATTATTCTTTCTTTCTTTCTTNCTGTGAATGGAGTGTTTGGGGTAAAGCTGGCTGACCCCCTGGCACTCTGGAGTAGTCCTGCGGTAATTCCCTCCTGGATTATCCGGGCTATGTCTTCCCGGTCCATTGTTACCGACCTCGAGGCCGCATCGCCCGAGGCCCTAATTCTCCCAGTGTCATTCGCAGGGCCCTGGGCCCGAGCCATATCATCGGGCATGAATCCTCTCGAAGGCACTGCGTCGGCCACGACACCTCCTCCGGGTGCTGGCTCCTGTTGGGGATGCGAACTTCTCTGACTTAACAGCTGTGTCAATGTGGCAACCTGTTGACGGAGCTCTTCGAAAGCCCCCGGTGTAATAGTGGGTTGAGGTGCTGGAATCTCCGATGATTCTTCCGGCAGAGCATGGGGCCCTCCCGGAGGATTCGGAGCTGATGATCCTGCTGGTAGAAGACCGGAACGTGTGGTGACCATGGCTTTTGGTAGCGTTTCCCACAGACGGCGCCAATGATGCTACCAAAAATCGTACCTGGCGGTTTTCGATCCCGGCGACTATTGATGAGCACGAACGTAGTCCTCCCGTACCTGAAACAAAGGCGGTGAGGTATGACCTCGTCGCCCCTCCGATGCTTAAGTCAGACAGGGGATTTATGCGTAAGGTTATATGCTGAAATAATGTGGAACGTACCTCAATATCGAATTGGGAGCCCGTATTTATAAGGCTAGGCGGTAGAGTCCTAGTAGGACTGTGTGGTTTATTCCTGGTTGTGCGGAAGTTGAGTTAACTTCCTTATGTAGAAGAGTCCTGCATGGATTAGTATTTTAGGATAGAATCCTTAGTTAGGTAGGACTCCTTATCCTTGTTGATCTCGACCCCTTAGGGGCAGAGGGCCATAGACGTCGTGGGATGATAACAAAAGACCCCGAGGACAACGGGAGACCGAGGAATGCTTGCCCCTCGACGACTGGATACCCCGAGGACTTCCATCGTCCTCCTTGGAAAAATGGCTGGGCCTAGTCCTCGGGGTCTCGAGGACTCCATATGTCCCATCAGTAAAGGGGGATGACACAAGTCCTCGAGGAAACTTAGGCCAGGAGGCCTCTAGAATATCCTCGACCATGATAGGCCTCGGTCATGCCAAAACCTCTCATATCAATAATCATTAAATTCTTTACGTATATTTACTTAAATAGATAAGAATAAAATCAAATAAAACCTATCATTATAATCATTAAATTCTTTACGTATATTTACTTAAATAGATAAGAATAAAATCAAATAAAACCTATCATTATAATCATTAAATTCTTTAAAACTTCCCACAATTTAATAAAATTTAGACCGAAACCGTATCGCTTCAATGCAGGAACCTGTTATTGTTTCTTTGCAGCATTTATCTTGAACTTTTTGGAAAGTGAGCAAGAAATTGAATTGAAAAATGGGTGCTTTTGGTTTACACTACTGCGAAAATGAAGAAGCAAAATTGTTGGGTTTCATTTGGGTGTGAACAACAGTGGAATAGTGTCCAACATTTGGATCACAATACAGAATTTTAAAATTTAGTATTATGGAATTTATAAAACATGAAGACTTTGAAAATATAAGAATTATCTTTCATCGTGGGTTTGACGAATTTAGTACGTGAATGATTCTTGATTTGTGTTTAGGGTGAGAATAATTCGAGTTTTCTACTCGGATTATATTTTATTTTCTTGATTTTCTTGAATTATAATAGGGAAGATTTGGAGTGTGATAGATATATAAAAGTAGTATGTATATATTTAAATGAATGAATTTAATAAGGTCAACATTGAAATACAACGTGGATGAATATAATTTTTTGTTTTTATGAAATTTGATAGAGATGAATTTAGAGAATTTCAAATTATTATATTTTTGTATTCTGTCGATGGGCTACGTTAGATGATTTCCTTTTACAAAGGAAAAGAGAAAGAAAAAATGCCAATTACTATTTAAAACATTACTTTTTCTTTAGGATGTCCGTTAAAGTATTTCTGGTAAATGTATTTTGCAAGTTAATACGGACTTCTAAATTTGATGAATTATATAATTAATTGAATGAAAATATAATAATTGTAGGTAAAACTCGAATTTGGATGCAATTGACGCAAATAAATGCATTTTCGAGTTTAACGAGAGTTGATTCAGAGCAATCAAAGATCAATAGGATTGTATATGATCAAAAATAAGAATTAAGAGAGCAATCGAAAGATTTTTTCAACTTTTGGGGAGCTAAATCCAACATTTGAAAGGTTTTAGGACTTAATTGTAGCTTTCAGAACTTGAAATGAATCAATTATGGAATGAGGAAGATCAGATTGTAGAGATTAAAAGATGAAAGACCAAATATACAAGGATGAACAGACTCGAGTTAGGATCAACTTGAACGGGAAGCAAAAATTTGTGCCTTGCAACTGCAAGGAGGACCCCATGCGATCGCAATGTGAGATAAAATTTCATCAGCAAGACCACGAACTATATTGTTGGATTGCAAGTCAACACACAGTGCGATTGCATGGAGTCCTCCTTGTATTAATGACGAACCATTTATTATAGGATTTACCCGTTTGGTGCACAGTAAAATGAGAGAATGCATTTTTTTGAAGTGATGTGATGTGGAATATGTGGTTGAAAAAGAAGGAAAAATTATTGATGTGATAGAAAATATTATTTTATTGAAAGATGTGTAGTTGAAAATGAGTAAAAGAATAAAAATGAAAAAAAATAATGTGGATCAAACAGGAACTTAAATTGCAATCATCGTTATCCTACAATTAGTAGAGCAAGTACAAATTAGATTGATATGCATCACTCGAAATTAAAGCATCAAAAGATGATGAAAAAAAATCTTGAATCTTCTCAATCGTTCATGATCAATCTTCTTGAATCTCCTCCTTTAAAATCCAAGCAATTGTTTATGAAATTTAATCGAAACCTTGAAAAGAATGTCTCTTTTTTTTTTCTAAGGTTTCTCCATTTTCCATCTAAGAATAAAAATATCTTCCTTTGAGCCAATTGCATCCAAGTATGGACTTTACCTACAATTAATTTATTTATATTAAATTAAGTAGATATTCGTTTATTCCTAATTCATCAAATTTAGAAGTCCAAACAAGTGTGCAAAGCACCCCCACCACTAAAAATGAAAATTAAGATTTTGCATTTAGATTCTAAACTTACATATTCAACGTTATTTAGTGAAAAATAGAAATAATGCATACATGTTCAAGGGTTCCGAAATATGTGTAAAAATTAGATGTAGCGATTCAATGTGATATCATAATAAATATAATTTTTGAGTTAAAATAGTTGTCGTTCTTTATAGAAAAAGTGTATTTACAAACAATTCATTTTTTGTAAGTTTGGTATGCAATATATTGAACATGATTAGACAGTATAATATACATGATTTTATATATTTTCTTTCTTCTCGTCTTGTTCATTTCACCAAGCAAGTCATTTATTTACATTATTTCGTTATTTGAAGTCACTAATAGTAACATAGTTCCCTTGAACTCAGTACAGACATTTAATCGACGAGATTCTCATGAGCGTAAACATAATCACTTTTTTCCTCCCTTTGTTTAGAGTATGTTTATGAAGGTCACCAAAGTTGCAATAAGAATGGTCGAGATTTGGACTATATATGCACTGCATTGCCTGGTTCGAGCTCACCTCATGACAAAGATAGGCAGAGGTAATACCGACTTTAGTTTAGTCTTACAGTTATTTCGACTCAACCATGACCACTTCACTTGGCAAGTTTATATTTCACACAATTTAACTTTCTAAGAGTATCTCCAAAAAAAACTCTCTAAACCCAAAATACTCTATATTTTAGAGAGTCGATACTTAAAAATATGTTATAAGAGACTCTTTTTTTAACTTTTTAAAATAAAGAGGAAGATAATTGCATTTAATAAGTTACAAATTTCAATAATCTACCATTTAAATTATTCGAATCACATTGAAATGATTAACCGTTAACATATAAAAATAATAATGATATCTTGCACAAGTGGTG